TTACGACTTTGCTTCTTTTGGCGGAAGAAAGAACGCCGAAAAAATTTTTTTCCTTTTTCCTGATCTGATGCTTTTGTTTCTTTTACAGGAAGTTTGTCTAATACTTAGTATCTAAAAATAGAATAAAACGTTCTATGTTTTTTTCTTCTACTTTTCTGCCTATGAACGTAATGGGCTTAATTATAATTTTAGAGCAGTTCTTTTCTTTGTTGTAGTTTTACGTTATGTAGTGGCAACGCATATGCGTACTGAGAGCAGACATTTATATATCTTTGTATGCGTATATTTCTTTGCGTTTAACAGTTTGGGTGCCGAGGAGTAGCAACTGCGGTTTAGGAACAATAACGGTAAGGCGTATTTCGTGTTCGGTGCTGTCGATGGTTTTCGGTGTTTTTGACGTAATGGATTCGTATTTTGCTCTCATTTCGTTGGCAAGTTAAAGTTTAGATCGTAATTCTGTCCTTTCCTTTTTTTTCTTGGTTATTTCTCTGCTTCTCAGCTTCTTCCGTTCATGGTCACGAAAGTTGATTGTGCAGATGACTATTTTTAGTACATTAAAGCTCTAAATTTTGTATACTTCAGAAAAAATTCCTAAATTATTGTTTAGTATAATAAAACGGTGCAAAAATTCTAACTGCTTGCCAAGTGTGCGGAAAAAAAATTTAGATACTTGTCAACTGATAACAGTTACGAATTTTAAAAAAATGGTCTTATGAGATAGTTTTGTTATTGAGTTTTTTGTTTTGATTAAGAGGCATTTTGTTCTTTTTTTTTTTCGGAATGAATGTATGGGTAGGACGGATGATTGGATAGACAGGTAAATGAATAGATAGTGTGGTTTAATGTAATATTTGATATCTCAAATTTGTGTAGGGTTTTTCCGGAAATGGCTGTTTGTTAGTATTAGTAGAGACAATGAGAAAAAAAAAGAATTCAATGAATTTTGTTGGTGTTAGTGGTTCTTCAAAATTGTCTGCTTCTTTTAGCTTTGTCTCATAAACATCTATACAGCCTTCTTTTCTTGCCTTTCTTTTGTGCATATGTGCAAATGTTTCTTGATGAGGTGAAAATTTGGAGAATTGTTTTAGTAATGATCATTTCTCGATGACATTTCACTCTTTTGTATTCTGTTTCTTGCTACTGTTGATGTTTTTCTTCTATTCAATAATAGAGTATGAAAAATAACTCCTTTTTTTGTTCACTCATTTATTTTTGGTTTTTTCCTTCTGCTCGTAATTTGCTTATCACAGTTCTGGCTTCGTTTTCCTTCTGTGACCTTATTATGGTGTGAACTTTTTGAGTAGCCTACTTCTAGCAGGGTTCGGATTTTTTTTTTTGAGCGATGTTTAGAGTCTATTAACAGTTAACCAGTCTTTTATTAAATGACCAAATACGCACATCATCATCATCAATCATAATATACTGTTGCCTTTTTTTTTCTCTTGGAAAGAGGAAAAAGTGCAATAGTTACATAAATTAAATTGTATGTTAGCGTTAGCGATAATAAACATAAAAAAGGAACACTATTAAGACGGTGTTCTCTCCGTCTGGTGATCCACTGTTGTCACATATTTGACGGCACTGAATAATGTCGTCTGTAAACCGTAGAGCCAATAAAAGTTAAATCCAATAACAGGTGTAAAATAGCAGCGGAATAACCAAACAGTTAGTCACGCCCGATACTGAATTTTTTGGTGATCTTCAGCAAATTATAGAGCAAAAAATTATTAAAAATAAATGTGTAAATTTCTTTTTCAAATTTTTTTAATCTTTTTTGTTTTTTCCTGTTGAAACAAGTTAGAGATTTCTGACTGCAAATTTTTTTCAAAAAAAAGAATTTTGATTTGAATCTGTTGAAGCGTAAGAAATAAAATCCCTATTACCTTCTAACAGTTCTTATTAGGTGGCTGAATGACTGTTAAATAACAGCTTTCCTACTATCACTTTCTTCAGCGCTTCAACTTTCGACATTTTTGCTTAAATTTTATTTTCAATTGGAGTTAAGATTTTATAGTTCAGTCGCCTGTAATGTCAGTTTGTTGTTTCGTTTTATGGTTCTATGTTTCATAACTATTTGTATATAAATGGACATGTTTTTTTTTTTTTTTTTTTTTTTG